AGAGAGAGAGAGAGAGAGAGAGAGTGAGTGAGTGATAATATAATTGTATTGTAGTAATTTTCTCTACATTAGCGAAAAATCTAACATTATATTAGATTATTTCAGATTCTTGGAATTTTCTTGTTTTTCCGAGCTGTAATTTGGTTCGCGGTGGTGCACCGCTATTTCCTGTTACCATTTATCTTGTATTATTTTTATTTTTAGCAACTGTACTCTATTGAGTTTATCTTGTATATAAATTGCGATAAAATCAATTGTAATTATTTAAGTAATTAGATTTTTTGATGCAATGGCGAAATTTTACATGAGATTTTTGTACGCATTTTTAACATGCATTTATGAAGCGAATTGTATTCCCCCCGTATTTATAATTGTCTATTATTCAAGAAAACAATTCTTTCCAAATATTTAACAAACGTCAGTTGAGAAAATAAATGTCTTTGTATAATAATATCTGATATATTAGTGACACAAATGGACTCAATTGTGATTCTAAATGTGTGTGATTCAAATTACTTTGGTCCGACAATTAAATATTTAGGCCTAAAAAGCATGATACATGCATCGCATAAAAAATAAAAGAAATGAAATTATATTTATAAATACACGACTTCAATTTTGAAGTTAATATTGAATCGTATTTCTCGAATCAATGATTAAATAAGTAGTCAATAATTGTTTTTACAATTAGCCGTATTGCCAGCGCTTGTATGCACCTATGGCCATTATAGATACTCTCTAACTATATATAGGCCGATTACGATTTCGTCGTCCTGGCCCAGTGTTTTCCATAGATATTTTTTTCTAATTTTTCCTATTTGCATATTTTTATAAAGACCGATTGTTCGATCTTTTGGTAAAGTTTACGTATAAGTAGGTAAGTAGCAAGATCATGTGCGCGAAATTTTATCAAAGATGGAACAATCAGCCCTAAGTATATCTATATATATATAAATAATGCGTTCGGCGCAAAGACGGCGCGTTTTTGAACGTAGCGCGATTAATCGCGGCGAAATAAATAACACGACACACTATCACAATTAGCAAGAGAAATGAAAGGCATTTAGAACAGAATTTATTCGATTCTGATACATGACAATGTGATTTTCTCATCGATCGAGGAAGTAGCCACGATTAATGTAAAGCTAAATGGCCGATTAAATATATGGCTCTAAAAACGTGCCGTTATATTCGCGCGAGCTTACACAGTAAGCTATCGCCGCTAATATTTTTGCGTGTACGAGGATGTGTGCTATCGATTTCGTTGCAGTTACAATCGCGACGACGAAAGTTAGTAAGTTTTAGTAGTGGTTGTCTCGCTTAATAAATTCTAGAAAAAAATATTGCGCTCGACGTAATAATAAACACGTCGCGTCGTTCGAACGCGATAGATAAAAGGAGGAGAGCGAATGCTTTCGCATTAATAAGAGATCGATCCCTATATATCGCAATTACGTAATATGTAATCGGTGGGACCGAGTCGAAGGGGTTCGAGAAGCGCCGAGCGGGATCGGCAATCCTTGGCGACTTATATATTTTTTTTTATCACCGCACCGTTCAAGCGGAAGATAAACCGCGATCCGCGGCGATGAGGGCAAAGAAAAAGGTCGAACGGGCGCATGATGTTATACTATATACGAGGGCTATATGTAGGAGGTAGTAATAAAGAAGAATAAGATTAAAGGGTATATATGGGAACGAAGAGGAAATGTGTTTCGCAACACCGACCATGATGCTTCGACGTCCGTAATCCCAGGCCATTGATTCGTTTGGTCAGTTCGGCGCTGGCACGCTCGACGACGCCCTGCGCCGATATCGAAGACATGATATCTCGATGAGGCGCACTCTCGTCTCGTTCTGCACTTGTTGTCGGATCCAATTGCGTCCGCGCTTCGTAGTCAAGAGTAATACGATACGATCCGAGGACGACGGGACCGCGTCATATTCGACCCGATCTGATATAGCACTTCCTCGCACGAATGAGGACGAACGCCGCGCACCGGCGCGGCGCGGCGCGGCGCGGCGCGGCGACGACGCGCTTATTTCAACAGCTTTCAGAGAAGCAGCGCACACGAAGGGATGATGATGATGATGATAATTGATAGCATGTGTGCGGCGTGCGCGCGCGCGCGCACTCGCGCGCATCCATGTCGAGATTTATCTCTACGCTATTTATCCTTCTATTTCTCAGCGCGCGCGCGCGCGCGCGCGAGAGGCGTCATTATTAGCGATTATTGTATTCTACTCGATATAATCCTTGTACCTCGGCTTCCGAAACAGAAGCGAAAGGGAAATAAAAGCACACAATTTCAGTTAGCCGCGAGCGAGAGAATCAATAATCGGCGCGGCGACTAACCCGCAACACGTAATTCACGAGATATCCGCGGTGCACTGCGCTGACATTGACGATGATGTTGGACGATGCCAAGCTACCTCGTAATGCCTCGTATCAACGATATTCCTGCGTACGTCTCGGTCTCTGTTTACGTTGGTTTACGTGGTGGTGGACGTACAATACAGGGCAATTATAACAATGCCACTGCGGGCAGGGTGCGAGCATGGCAAGAGACTTGAGCGCGCCGCTGCCGTTGCACACGTAAGGGTAGTTTGCGCGAGACTGAATCGATATTCGCGACTTGCTGTCCGCTGTCGTTGCTCAACTTATCCGGTTGCCTCTTCCCCACCCTCACTTATCGGCTGCCTTCCTGGCGCGCGTGCCAGCTAGGTACTTTACGCCTGCCACGATGGCGAACCGTTCGAGCGGAATCGCCCGCCTCGCAATTTTATATACCCCTTTCAATTTTATATACCCTATATATATATATATATATATATAATCTTATAAATCACAATAAAGGAATTGAGTGTCATATCTTCAATTTTTATACGAAATGGCAACATTCGTATTAACGGGCGATATAAAAGAGTTAAATCTCGATTTTCGATATGAGAATAAAGATTTTTTCATTTTATGCGATAATTATTCTTCTGATAAAAATAGAACATGCGGTTTAATTTATCGATTTTCTATTTTTCTACGCTTTAAATACTTCATTTATTGAGACCTCTTAAATATCTTGATTTATCTCTCTTCAGTAGAATTTATATTTTCCATCATTAGGGAATATGTCAATTCTTTTTATTAAAAATTTGGCATTTACCTCTAATCACATCGTCAAAATATTAGATAATATTGGTAAAACCATGTAAATAATAAGGTAACTGAATCACTGATTCAGACTTTTCCGACACCTTGTATTCGTTGGTGACGTTCGAACGACGTCAATCTCGCCAATGTTACCTTCTTACAGAATTTGCGTTATTGGATCATCTTCACGTACCGTAATAAGGAGTAGATGACACTTTTTTTCTTTTCAAGAGGATAGGTATGACGTGGGAAATTTAATGAGGCAATTAATTTTAATGAGAAATTGTATAGTATTTATTTTAACATTTATACATCGTTGTATTGGATGTAATATCTCTCTGATCTTTGCAATATAAAAAAAGTTTCATGCTTACACTATCTTGAGACCAGCAATGGAATTCTCTAGAAGCTTGATAAAGACAAAAATCAATTAGAAAAAAAAGTACATTATTAATATTAATTAAAATATACGTGATACAAATTACCTTCAAGTCCCAAACTACAAGTTGTCCGTCTAAACTGCTTGTGCTAAATTCATAATCAGATACTCGGCGCACACAGTTGATTGTGTTTTGATGTATGCTATCCAAAGCATTATCGTTCGTCTCGTTTCTCGCTTGTCGATCTAGTGATTGGAATTTTCGCATAGCAGATAATCCGGCAATCTCCTTTTTTTGCGTGTTGTCTAACTTTGAGACAAAATATATTTGTCCGTTGTCGTCTATGGAATATAACATTGGCATACAGCTATGTCCCTACGAGAAAGAAGGAAGGAGAGAGAGAGAGTCACCACGATTAGTGTACTAAATTAGTGTACTCTCGCGAGTAATCTAAAAGATAATCTCTTAAAAAAGTTACTTACAGCGGCAACAATGTTATTAGAACCTATCCAAATGCAACTTAAAAATGGTAAATGCTCTGTATATAGTCTCATGACTGCATATCCTTTAGTAGCGTCAGCGACACACACAGACGAGTTGTGCGCTACCCAACAGATTTTATTGCCACATGGACTAAATGCTACTGAATGTATCCAACCACCTATGAAAGCAACGATTGAAATGTCAATTCTTTATAATGATAGAATTTATAATTTACATATATTTCAAATGACAAAAAGAATTAAAATGTAAAATAGAATAAAAGATGATAGTTTTACCTCCATTGGGTGTATTAGGAAACTCAGCCAACAATGTTCCTAAGGTATTACTCTGTCCCCAAGGACTAGTACTAGGAGCATCCTCCATATCACTGATAAATGCACTGAAGACACGGACTTTATAGTCCGTCGATCCTGCTACCAGAACCTTATTGTTGGGATGCCAATCAACAGTAGTTACCGTAGACCTCAATGGACGCTTAATATGTTTACATAACCACCAATTATTCTCTGATACGAAGTAACAAACAGCTATAACTCGTCCTCCGGAACCCACAGCAAATTTATTTTCTGTAATGACCGAGTCTGTGTACAGAGCTGTAACAAACTTGGGATAAATTCTTTCAAAGGAACATAGAGGATATACCTGAAGGAGACCATTTTACACAAGTAGCGGCTCGATTTATTCGCAAGAGAACCCAAGCGGGATCCCACTTGCCGTCTTCTTTCTGAGTCCATACATAGGCGTTCTTGTCTGCAGAACAGGTGACTATACGATTAGTTTTTGGCGCCCAGTCGATTCCCATGACAGCCATGTGATGCTCCTCCAAGGTCTCGAGTAACTTCCATCCGGATGAAGTACGTTTGTGCACTTGGATCTCATTGTTGTTTGGGCATATGGCAACCTCTGTGACAATGGCTTAATTATATATCTACTAATTCAATCAAACAGTTATCTATTAGAGACAAAGGGTGGTGATCCTACCAGTTTTATCTCTGTTCCACGCGTGACAGCTGATGGCATCGACACCCAAGTTGTGGACCTCCGTCATTTCGCACTTACTCTTACTATTAGTAAACGAAAATGTCTCAAGAGACGATTGCGTAGGATGTCGAATATCGATGAATCAGTGTATACTTGAGACGAACTTGAGGGGCACGCGGGCTCGACGGGCGCGGTCGTCGATTAAACTTTATTAAACAAGACAAGACTCTGTCGTTCGAGCGACCGTGTACGGAAATTCGCGGACTCTGGTCAGTCTACACGAATTTCCCAGCCTCTCCTCACGATCGCAAAACACCGCCCCTCTATACACCGGAATTGACTTGACAGTTCATCCGTAGATAGTGGGTTATCTATCCCTTCTTCGAGGTTATGTTCTCCCGGATATACGTATGTACTGAAGACGCGCGCGGCGCGCTGCTCTCGGTATCCGGCCATTCCGGTTCGACTTTTTCTTCTGCGCGCGGCGCTAGTGATTTTACGGAATTTCTCCCTGCAACGACGACCTCTACCGAGTGTTACTCGAAGCAAAATAGCTAGGAAATTGATAATTTTCTAAACGTATCGACTGCAGTAATTTGCGACTTTTTTCAAATAGAATCGATTTTGTAGAGTTGGTAACCCTACTGTTTTTCTTTTTTTTTTTTTTCTTACAGTAGAAATGAAGGGTAGAATTGAAGGAACCGAATAAATTTATAAAAAGGAGGAGAAAAATATTAAATTTTAAAATAATATTAAACTTTTGTAAGAAAAACGGCAGATTAAGGACGAGTTACTGGAATTCTTTGCAATTGGAAATTAATATTTTTATCGATTTTTAAGAAGAGGTAAGAAAACATATTAAAAATTTGTTAACAATCGTTGACAAAATCATGGAACATTGAAAATTTTCAGTAATTTTTTCTCTTTTTACGCCCTTTAACTAAATATAAGTAATGATTTCTTCGTTTTTAAAATTTTATTTTTTAATATACAATATTTTTTATGCTATAAATAGTCGATATATATATTAGATAAATACATATACCGTAATCAATTATAGCTATAACATACGCGTGTGATTGCAACAGATTTATTTTCGCGACGCAAACCGCTACTGTGTCGCGCTGTGTCGCAGAGAGCCCAAAGCCAAAACACGCCCTCGTTTAATCCGTCTTGGTCATACCATCGATGTGCCTTGTAGTTTGATATAACTAAGGCCGCGTAATGAAATATTTTACGCAGTGCAGAGAACGAAGTCATAAAATATCGGTAGCGACTGACGCTGCGTCGCGTCGCGTCGCTTTGAATTGCGATTACTATGCAATATTATAACGCATAATCGTGATACTTGTTTTATTCGCAAGCATACTTTTTTAAAATCTACTATTGTGCACTATGAAAATTAAAAATATGAAAATTTTGCTTTACGATTTAATTATATTTAATTTTTAATTAATATTTTTTAAAGATGTATAAATGAGATGTATCGAAACTTATATTTTAATTATAATGTTGTATCATCCAGATATATTCACACACCACATATTTTGTAGACGTATATGATATTCATATTTTCATATGATATTCAAGTTAAAATAGTTTAATTTATTATATATTTGCATGTACATGCAGAGACAGAGCTAGGAAGAGACAAAGAGATTAAATTACTTAATTTCATATAATATATATATTTCAAGTAGATTTAATTAAATTTACTTGAGACAGAATAATTTCTTAATTACTAAATTGAAATAGATATTTATGTCATTGTGTAATGTAAACAATAAAATATTAAGCTATATTTCTACAACTTCAAGTTTTCAAAGTTTTGAATTTGTTAGTTGTTAAAATGATGTGTATACAGCAACATATATATTCTACTTTACTATGCAAAGCGGCTTTTTACTGTTGGCTCTCTCTCAAATTAGCTTTTAATGGAATTAACGAAATTTTATTACTACATAGATGAAAGCTCTCTTGTACTTCGCGGTACATATCAAAAGAGACTTTTTAATATTTAATACAACGCGGTATAATGGAGTTATTATCTCATTTTAACGGATAGGTAAACACCGCATTAATGTATTAATTCCTATAAAAATAGTCAAATTTTTACATAAAATCTCACGTATGTCTGAAAGCAATAATTATTGATTAAAATTAATATTTATTTATACAAATCTAGTTATATAAAAATGCAGTTATAATAGTTATATAACAGTTATATTATATGTATAATAATTATCTAAATTAACATTAAACGAAGAAATATTTATAGTTTCCTATTTTTTACGATTGGAATGTCATTAAAACAAATATTTATTTTCATTTTCAAGACAATATTAACTTTTGATTCTAACATTCTTATTTTGTGAAAAATGTACAATATCATTATTTATATTTTAAAAACCAGTATCATCTTTCCTATTATCCAAATTATAGCTCTATAGTGTCGATTTTGCGAATGTTGTAACGTTGAATACAATATTTCGATGTGGTCATAGTGAGAAAACCGGAAAACCACCTTCGCCACTGACAAATCAGTCCCTCGAGAATTGACCACACAGGTCTGAGCCTGGCAAACAAACT